TGAGATGGGATTTGGCTATGTTTCTCTAGTTAGTCTGCTATTTGCTATGTAGCCCAGGCTGGCTCTGAATTTGTGGCAATATTTCTGCCTTAGCCTCCCAAGCGCTAGGATAACAGGTATAAACCACCACATCCAGCTTCATCCACCTCACCTACCCCTTCTCTCCCTCCTCTCCTTCCTCCACTGCCCCCCTTCCCTTCTTTTGCAAGATGGAGTCTGGCTGTTGCCCAGGCTGGCCCCAAACCCCAAAACCCAAGTGGTCCACCCTACTTTAGACTCCAAAGCAGGTGAGACTACAGGTGCACAATAGAATTTCCAGTCCTCAGTCTTCTCACTATGCAGGTAGGGCTACAGGTGCACAACAGAATGTCCAGTCCTCAGTCTTCTCAGCATGCAGGTGGGGCTACAGGTGCACAACAGAATGTCCAGTCCTCAGTCTTCTCAGTGTGCAGTGGGGCTACAGGTGCACAACAGACCATCCAGTCCTCAGTCTTCTCACTATGCAGGTGGGGCTACAGGTGCACAACAGAATATCTAGTCCTCAGTCTTCTCAATATTCAGAACTAATACCCTGCAACCATATAGAACACGTGCAGAGTGTACATGTGAATGAATTCACATGGAGACATGATTCCTTGATGGAGCATTAAGAGTCCATGGTCAGCCAGGTGGTGGCAGCACATGCCTTTAATCCTGGCACTCAGGAGGTAGAGGCGAGCTGGTCTCTGTGAGTTCAAGGCCAGTTTGCTCTACAGAGTGAGTTCTAGGACAGCCAAGGCTACACAGAGAAACCCTGTCTGGAGAGAAAAAAAAAAGAGTCCATGGACAAAAATGATTATACAATTTAAAATTTTAAAATATAAAAATGGTTATTTAAATTTAAAACAAAATTTTGTGATTATTTGCTTAAAATTATCAAGAACTTCAGAATTACAGGCATTAAGCCAAGGAGGGGCCCTTGCAAGCATGGGAAGCATGGGGCACTAGGCCAGTGTGCGTGTCCACAGCCCACAAAGCTGGTTCTGCCTGTGAGCTCTCCAGAGACTGGCTGACTGGGACTGGCAGAGTCCTCCATTCTTTGAGTCAATGCATGCCCTGTTCCGACAATGGGCATTCTTGTCTCAGCCTCCACATTAGCTATTGTCCCCTGACTCTGCACACAGCCTGTTCCAGCTGCACTCTCTGCTCCAAGGCCAGACTGCTAAGCAAACTCCTGGGGTCCATGACTGCCTGTCAACATCACTCTGGAGGATACCCACAAAGATGGCAGTGGAGTTGGACAAAGACATCCCTGTGTCACAGAAAGAAAAATGTCTCCAGAGAAAAGAATACATCGAACCACCAACCAAGAAACTTGGATTCCAGTTCCAGCCCTGACACCGACATTGTGTGTCCTCCCTTGGAGAGTTGTCACACATCTTGGCACCTTAGTTTCTTTCTGTCAAAGGTCTGGGGTGGGATTCAACAGTCTCTAGGGCACTTCCAGTCCAAAAGACTGTATTCCAATGACTACGAGACCGATGCCCCTTAAGCACCAGCCATACCGCTCAGTGCCCCATGTCATGCACCTCAAAGTCCTAGGAGGCTGGCAGTGTTATTACCCATCTCTCCAGCTCCTGATCCTGTCTTGTAAAAAGAAACTTTAGGGTCTGTGTGAGAGTGGGGGGTGACTCCATCAATGAAGAGACCCCAGCTTAATCCCCTGAACCAAATATGAGGGGCATGGTTTTGTAATCCCAGCACTCGGGAGGTGGAGGCAGGTGGCTCCCTGAGGCTCTCTGGCCAGACCATCTGTTCTAATTGGTGAACTCCACCCCCACAAAAGACCCTATCTCAGATGCATTCCTGAGAATGACACCCAGGGCAGTTTTCTTCCACATATATCTCCTACACACAATGAGCACACATATGCATTAATTGTGCACACACAAACACATTTTTAAAAATTATGACCCTTTAAGACTTGATAAAAGGCAAAAAGAAAAGCCTGATGTTGATTATGTAGGCTTGCTATGATATGGGTTGGTATAGGTTGGGTGTTTGGAATAGCTATAGGCTCAGGGTAGTAGTGGCACACGCCTTTAGTTCTAGCAGTCAGGAGGCAGAAACAGGCAGATCTCTGAGTTTGAGGCCAGCCTGGTCTACAGAGTGAGTTCCAAGACAGCCTGGGCTACACACAGTGAAACCCTGTCTCGAAAAACCAAAATCAATCAATCAATCAATCAATCGATCAATCAATAAAAAGCTATAGGCATCCAGCAAGTAGACATAAGTAAGTATGGACTGTCACTGTCTCCAGGATTGGAAAGCCTGTCAGAGCTATGCTTCTTAACCCCCCCAACCCTTAAAGCAACACTCCCCTTCAAAGGCCATCTTTGGAAAAACACAGGCTCTCCTCACATCTTACTTCCTGGTAAGAGTGAGGGAGAAGCTCATCTTCCCCATAAGGCAGTGACTCGCTGGCTCTCATAAACCCTTCACGCCTATGCCAGCTTTCCCCACAGACTGTTGCCTCCTGGGCCCTCATTCACTCTAGCAATCAACACTGAAAGCGGGACCCAGGGCCAGTGCCCTGAGGTCTGCGTGGTAAAGGACAGGGCAGGGGCAAATTCCAGCTGCACAGGGAGCCCCCAGAGGGGACAGGGTTATGTGTGGACAGGCTTCCATCTCTCAAAAATAAACTTTGCAGCACTGAGCCCACCAGTGAGGTGGAGGGAGGGGTCATGGGGACTGGGTGTGATCTGGTGCCTACTGGGTGGTCACTGCACTTCGCCTTATGTTTGAGTGGCCCTGTCTAAGCCAAATACCCTTCTGTGATCTCACTGATACCACAGCCTTGGTAGTGTGTACTGATGTCCCCTGGGTGATGATTCCCCCGTTTAACTGATGAGCAAACTGATGTGATGTACTTCAGTAAGCGGCAGCAGCCAGGCGAGGAGGGAATCAGGTCCTCTGCAGCCAGGCCCAGTGTTTTTCCACTGGCTTCCAAGGAGGAAGTCAGAAGGTCCCTGGACTCCACCTCAGGAGCGCTAATAACGCTTGTTACTTGCTGAAGAAAATGAAGCCGTGCACTGACTTCCCACCCCTGCCAAGTTTCTGGCAAACTGCTCTCAGTCCCTGAGAAAGCAGAGTCCAGACCCATTACAGATCACAGGGAATGCAGGGGCTACCATCCTATTCAGATCCCCAAAGCCCCAAGGTGACCCCAGTGGTGGGACAAATGAACCTTGATCGACAGAGCTCAAGGTAGCAAGAAAACATCACCCACCTTCACCACACCCCACGACACCCCCACACAAAGCAATCAGGCTGTGGCAGAAAAAAAAAAGAAAGACAGAAAATTAAAAAAAAATAAGTAAATAAAATTTGCTATGCTTTCTGGGGCTTCCAATGCTCTCATCTCTGGCCAGGTCTGTGGCTCAATGGGATGACCACAAGTTTCTTGGGCTGATTTAAGAAGAAAAAAAAACCCTATTTGTCACATTGACATTAATCCTCTTGTTAACCACTTGCCCTGGAGCAGAACAATGCTCAGCAGCAGAGGACAGAGCAGGGACTGCCTTAGCGGGGGGCCAGCAGGTCCTGAAGCCACCATCTCGTGGGGATGGGGGCTGTGATCATGCCTAGGGTCCCCTACTGTGCGTCTAATTCACCTACAACTCACCAACTAATCGACTCCTGGCATCCTCCTGGCTCCTGCCATCCCACCCGGTCTGCAGATGGCGTCTTTACCTCTCATTGATTTTCATATTTAAGGAAAATCCAATTGTTTGAGAGCAACTGAATCATCACTGCATTCAGACAAAAACTGCCCAGAAGGTAGGCATTTAGCGGAGGACACTTATGGGTGGGACCCTGTTTCGTCTCCAAACAGGACTCCATCCATATTGGCTCCTGGCTGCTTCTCTCTGCTGCTCTGACCCGTGCTCCTTCTTGGTAGCCTTCAGGTACTGCCTGTCACCCCAATAAGACTGGGCCCCTTACTTCCCTTGCACAAGGCCGTGCACAGGCTCCTGTATTTACCTGCAAAGGTCACTGTTGGAGAAGAGCAACTGGGGCACTTGGAGCAGAGTGGGGGGGGGGCTTATATGACAGACCACAGGAGAGAAACACTGATCTAAATACAAGACTAAATTCTCACAGACATATAATGTTGGCCTTCCTTTCCACTCTGGGAAGCACCCTAAGAGTGACATGCTGCCATTCCTGGTGTGGCTGTATGGGCTCGGCATTCAGTTTGATGTCAGTGGGCAGTTCCATCTCGGATGCCCATCTGCATGTCTATCACAGTCTTTGGTTCTTGGGACTTCGGGACCAAGAAACCTAGGAAGCCCTACTCAGTGAGCACCAAGAAAGGACAGTCTCTCTATGTAGCTCATGCTGGCTTCAGACTCAGGATCCCTTTGCCTTAGCCTCCTGAGTGCTGGATTACAGGTATGTGCCACCCAGGCCAGTGACGGTGCTTCTTAGGACAAGGCACCACTATGCAGACTGGGGGCATGCTGAGAAGTAAGAAGGGATTCCAGTCGGTGAGTGTCAAGTGTTGGTTTAAGTCTCTTAAAACTGTGCACTGAAGGCGTATTATCACCAAGCGCAAACGTGTTACCTGTGCTACTTCTTCCTTTGTAATCCTGTCGGCAACACTACAAGACAGGAACTACTATTGTCTCTTTACAAAAGAAGAAACTGAGGTAGCCAGCGGTGAAAGACCCAGTAAAACGACTCTAAATGTGTGGTTTAAAAGCCCACACCTTTAGCCAGTACACAGAGAGCAACAAAGTCATCCCTGGCGTTCTTCTGCAGCCCCTCATCCCTCCAAAGGACAGTGAACTCCTTTAATGGACAAAAATTCTATTAAATTCATTTTCCTGACCGTCTGGGAAGGCCCCTGTCTACTTCTCCGTATCCCAAGACTGGGGGGGGGGGCCTCAGGCAGGATTCTGGAGCTTTAATCCTGACTGTTTTAAGACCTCCTAGTTAATCGGCACCTTGCTTTCTCTCCACCTCCCAACCTCCAGTACCAGCATCTTGAAAATAAATCAGTCTTCCTGACTGATTTGGTTGGAGCTGGGAGATTAAGTTGCTAACATGCACAGTTCCTGGTGGCAGGTGTTCCCTCTCACACACAGCTCCGGGTCTGAGCAGGAGCACGGTCCACCTGATTTCTGTCTGTGCTTGCTGCAGAGTCTGGAAGCCCCCCCTCCTCCCAGTCACGTCCCAGCACTGCAGACAGTTGCCCACGGTCGTGGGTAAGATCTTGTCATTTCCCCATTCCTCTTCCTCCTCCCCTTTCCACTTCTCTGGAAGAAGGGTGGGCTGCATTAGGGTCAGAAAGGTGAAGAAAGTCAGTTATCTGAACGCCTACTATTTGCTGTATACTTCCGGGGCATCTCCTCACCTCTCAGCCAAAGGTTCCAGCTCAGATATAATGACCCTTGCAGGGGTCCAGAGTGGAAGGAAATGGACTCTCACCGACCCATCTGCACCATTCTCTGAAAAAACTGAGGTAGCTAGAAGACTTGGGCAGGAGGAGCTCTCCTGGAAGTGGTGGTGGCAGGTCCTTGAGTAAAGGAAAGGCTCAATTGTGCTAAGGCTTCCTGTCCGGACAACTCCCGGCGTAGCCCCCGCCACGCAGCAGCCGCCTTTCTGCGGCCGGCGGGCTGGGAAGGCGGGGCGGGAAGGCTAACGCAGGAAAGGGTTACGGGAATAGCTTTCCAATGACAAAGTCTGGAAGGGACCCATGCCTCCGCCCCTCTGCGGGTTAAGCTGGCACAGTGCAGGGGAGGAAAGCGTGGGCGATCCGCAGCAGGGCCTCCCCTTCCACCCACCCCCAGCCGCGGGCACTCCCAGCTCGGCACCCCCAGCTCGGCCCTCCGCCGAGGCAGCCGGCGTGTGCCTAGGGCAGCGGGTCACTAGGCTCCGCCCCCGGCCGCCCGGCCGGGGGGGACGGCACTTTGTTCAGGATGCCGCCTCCTTCTCGTCGTGGAGCGGGAGCCCGCGGCCGCCTTAGTGAGAGGCTGGAGGCCGGAGTGCGCAGTGCCGGCTGAGACTCGCCCTTGGACCCTGGGAAGCTCCAGGAAACTTTCTGAACGCAAGGAGAGGGCGTCCAGTACTGCGCTGCTCGGGCTATGCGCGACTCTGCGCGGCGGCGGCGGCGGCGCGGACTCAGAACCCCGGACCAGAGGCGCTCCGGTGAGTTACTCGCACCGGGCTGGAGCGGCGAAGGGGCTGAGCTCTGCTCTTAGCCGGGCTGGAGTCAGCCCGAGGGAGGAGAGTCTGGTGCCCCAGGGAGGATGCGGGCTGGCGCAGGAGAAGCACTGGATAACAACCGTGATACTAGCGGCTTCGCGGGAGTGCCTAGACGCCCCTGTTAGACTTTGCGTCTGTCCTGGGGTTGACAATGTGATGAACTAACCCCAACCCATTGAGCTTCAGTTTCCCTTCCTAAGAAATACCTGTCATTTAAAGTGCGCTGAGTTCCTGCATTAAACGCTGTTCTCTCTCTCTCTCTCTCTCTCTCTCTCTCTCTCTCTCTCACACACACACACACACACACACACACACACACACACACACACAGAGAGAGAGAGAGAGAGAGAGAGAGAGAGAGAGAGAGAGAGAGAGAGAGACATAGTCAGACGATACCCCGCTCCCCCAAGCAGTAGTAACGTTTCGAACTTCCCGGGAGAAGCTAAAGGAACAACTGGGGCAGGTGACCCGACTGGTCTGTTCCAGAAAATTGCACTGCCAGGCCACCTCTACCATCCCCCTGCACTGGGATGTGCGCTGAGAAGCGCCCTCTTCAAGGCTGTTTCTTCTGGCGCCTGCCCAGGACGTCTGGGAGCCTTGAGAGCATGGGGGGGGGGGGGGGGGGGGGGGGGGGGGGGGGGGGGGGGGGGGAGAAGCAGGGAAAATGTGAGGGAGCCGCTCACCTGAGGGTGCGGGTGCGGTGCCTGGATATTTGTGGTTCCTTTTAATCTTCAGAGTCGACCCTAACTGGCCATAGGACTGAGAGCCAGCCAAATCTGCAGATGCCATAAAGGGAAGGAAGGAACTGGGGAGGACCTGAGTGGTGAGTGGCTCGGGCAGTGCGCTAGAGTAATGTCCACCCAGCAAAGAGGGTTCCTTGTCCCCCCAGAGCTGAACACAGGAAAATCAGCTGGTAAGTCAATGGGACTTTGTTAGGACAATCCGAGAGCGCAGCTGGCGCCGGCTTAAGGGAAGTGCTGGGTCCCCCCCCCCACCCCCCTTGATAACACGCTGTTTATCTGGCTTCCTGTTTCAGCCATTGGGATACCATTGGCTGGTTCAAATTCAATGCTGAGAAGCCTGTGGCCAGTTCACCCAGCAAAGGCTGTGGACTTATACAGACTTTTGCACTGTGAGCTAGCTCTAATTCCCTGGACTTAAGGTACCCCTAAGAATTCACTTGAGATGAGGCAGGAGAACTTCAACACAGACGGTCACTCCAGATACTCCAGAGATCTTGGCTCCCTTCAGGCCAAAGACACGTGTTCCTCCATCTGGCTGGTGGATTGTTTTCACACTGCTCTGAGCTTTTGGTTGGTGCATTTTTTTAATGTATTATTATTGTTGTTGTTGTTGTTATTTTACCTGTGAAGGGAATGGTAGCAATATGGATCTCTTCTGAAGTGAGCTTTACACTGGTGCAGGTTTCTGGATGAAGTTCTCAGGCAGCTTGTAGTTTCTGTCTAACTGAATATGGACTTGGAATGGGAGAACAAACACTTCTTCACCTGCCTTGCTGTGGTACAGATGCTTACAAAGTTGATGCTGGAAGACAGAGAAGGCTGGAGGAATAAACACATTTTTCAGGCCTCCAGGGGCCTTTACCTGAGGTTGCCAGGTGAAGGGGCGTTGCTAATCCTAGTTCCTCCAGTGGGTTTGTCTACATCCCCCGAGGCTAGTCTTAGATTTTGCTTTGGATTTTAGGCAAAATCTTCACATAGGCCTTCCTCCCCTGTCACTCAATTTGACCACTTACAACACCAATAAATATTTGCCTGCTTAATAAAATTGGAGGAAAAAAAAATCTTAATTCCACCCAGATCCCGCCTTCCATCCCACTCAAATGGCAGGCTCTCTGTCCTTTAGAGGTTGTTTGATTTACCCTCCTCCCAAAACCTTTGTACATAATAGTCTGGATTTTGGAATCTGGTGTCCCTGATGAGCCTTGGCCTGAGGAAATCGAAAGCAAGAAAGCCATTTGCCCTTCCCTTGTCTAATCTGTCTCCTACCCCAGTCTGCCAGGTATGCTGAGCAAGTGCACCCAGCTCAGCAACAACCCAGCCTTCAACTCAGCTACATCCCAGCCTTCAACTCAGCTTTGGCCCAGGAGGAAAGAGTTCCAGAAAGTATCAATGTGTCCAGTGCATCTTTCCAAATTTGTTCATCTTTCATCCTTCCTTTTTTAATTGATGTCATTCCCCCTTCTTTTAAAGCACTTTTGAATTCTTTACAGGATTTATAATAGGCTGACATTTAAAGTTAAAAGAATCTCTGTGTCTCTCAGCCCAGCCCCTGATCACTTCCCTTCAGACCAGAATTCAGGCCTCCTGAAGGAAGGCCCTCGGGGTCTGGCTTCACAGTTGTGGTGCTGAAGAGCTGTCCAGAGCAGCCGTCCAGAGCTCCTTCTTGTTAGTAAAATCACCTCCTATCTGTAGATTCCATCCACAGATCTCAGCCCAGTCCTGAGCTTTAGCAGGAGAAAGGAGCAGAAACACAGTGAGGGGGAAGAAGGGCTGTCTCTGCGATGGAGCCAACCAGCAGCTCTTATTCTGTGGAACACTGAGATCTAAGAAGTGTGGCAATACTTGGCAAACACTCATCTTGCTGGCCCTTAGTCTTTCTCACAGACACAGACACACACACACACACACACACACACACACAAATAATTAAAAACATTTTTAATTCCCCTTTTTTATTTTCTTAGTTCCTTTTATTTATTAAGAAAAGGGGCACTGTACACACACACACGCACACACACACACACACACAAACATAACCAACTTTTTAAGTGGAAACACTCTCCTCCTTGAACAGTCCCTTGAACCTAATCTCCTAGGGAGGCTGACTCAGGCTTAGTTTCCTCCAAGGGGTCTGGATTTTGCTTCCCAGCTTCCTGTGACTCGTGAGACATGATGGGAGGCAGGATGACTGTGGCCCGGACCACTAGGAATGGCTCATGGATCTGGTTCAGCTTCTTTTGCACGTCCTGTGAAGTCCCCACTACCCTCATCAAATCTATTTGCTCTACTTAATTTTAATATGAGATGAGCTAATATGCATGAAAGATTAGAAGCACTGATGCATGTGCCTCACCAAGGACTGTTAATAACAAGATGTTTCCACTTCAAAGGACGGCTAGACTGTTCTGACGTCCAGGCCTCTGATGCTCTGGAAGCTGTCCTTGCTGGATTTGTTTCTTATTCCCTGTTTGGTTTGTTCATTACTGGTTAATTGTGTGCTGATCTTATTCACGCTGAATTTGCCTAGAATTGGTTTTGTGTATGAACTTGGGGTTTTCTGTATCTAGACCACATCCCCTGTGAGATAGTTTGGTTTTACATTTTCCATTGTGATTTAGGTAGGTTTTTTTTCTCCCTAGTCCAATTCGTTGGGCTGTACCTTTCAATACATTGCCGCGTAGTCGTAGTGAGAGTAGGTGCCCTTCTCTTGTTCTCCATCTTGGGGAAGAGTCTTTGTGTCTTTTACCATCAGAGATGATGTGAGCTGTGGCTTTACCATATTTTCACTTTATCATCTGGTGAGAATTCGCTGCTATTTATAGTCTCTAATTTTTTGTTGTGAAAGGGATGTTGGATTATATCAAATGTTCTTTTCTGCATAATTTGAAAGAACCACATGACTTGTTTCCGTCCTTCATTTTGTTAATGTGGCGTACTTCAATATTCTTCTTCACTGAGCCGCCCTGCATTCCTGGGATAAATCACTCTGGAAGTTTCCTTTTTCTTTTTCAATAATCTGTAATTTTCTGTCATCAAACCAGTGGCATAAGACTGTACCCCGAGTTGGATGGAATGGGTACCATTTATATTTTCCTTTATCACTGTGCTTGAAACATTAGAAATCTTTTTTTATCTTGGCAAAATAGACATAACATAAAATTAACCCATTTAATAACTTTTTTCTCCTTTGAGACAGGGTCTCTCTATATAACCCAGGCTATCCTAGAACTCTCTGTGTAGACCAGGCTGGCCTCAAACTCACAAAGATCTGCCTGTCTCTGCCTCCCGAATGCTGGGACTAGACATAGTTTAACAACCTTTTTAAAAGACAGAGTATTACTGTGTAATACAAACTGTATAATTCCAGATCTGAATCCTCCTGCCTCAACCTCCCAAGTGCTGGAGATTACAAGTGCATGCCACCATACCCAACCTTTTTAACCACTGGTCAGTGTACAGTTTAGTAGAATTAGATGATTCGTATTGTTCTGTAATTACCACCACTAGCTATCTCTAAAGCTTTTCAATCCTCCTAAACTAAAAGCTACCCACCAAAGATTAACTCGCAATAAGCTGCACAAGGCGGCACAGGCTTTAACCGCAGTACTTAGAAGGCTGACGCAAAAGAAAATGGAGTTTGAGTTCCGTCAGGACTGTATAGCAAGCCCTTGTCTCAAACATTCCACAGGCAAATAAATAAATAAAACCAAATAATGAATAAAACCTTCTTTCCCCCTCCTCCCATCTTCTGGCAACCAAATTGTGACAGTTTTGTTTGTGGTGAGACAGTATAGCCCTGGCTGTCCTGAAACTTACTCTATAGACCAGGCTGGCCTTGAACTCACAGAGATCCACCTGCCTCTGCCTCCTGATTGCTGGGATTAGAAGCATGTGGCCCCATTGCCCGGCTTGTGAGCACTATTTACTGACTAGGGAAGTAATCACTTTAAGTATTACAGGGTTAAGGTGTCCTTGGTTCTCATCTTCCAGTCTTCCAAAATGTCCCTCGTGTCCGGCCAGACATGACTGCTTCAGATTAGACACGCACTGATGATGTGTGGCCTTTCCGGAGTCCAGTGTGACCTCCCTTCCTCTGGCTATAATTCTCCATCTTACTTTTCTTTTCTCTTCAATCAGTGACCTTTTAAACATTACTGACTTCTGGACCCATCCCCAGAGACTTAGTTTCATTTAGTTCGG